CATTCTTTTCCTCAGTCTCTTTGTGCTCCTCCACTCTTCCTCCTCCTCTGCCCCATTCTCCTTTTCTTCCTCCTCCTCCTCCCCTTCTTCCTCCTCCCCTCCTCTTCTTCTCTTCCTTCTGCTCTTCCTCCTCTGCCTCATTCTCTTCTTCCTCATCCTCATTCTTCTCCTCCCCCTTCGCCTCCTCCTCTTCCTCATTCTCTTTCTCCTTCTTTTCTGCCTCATTCTCGTCTTCCTCCTTCTCATCTTCCTCTTCTCCTCCTCCTCCTCCATCTCCTCGTCCTGATTCTTATCCTCATTCGCTTTGTCCTTCTCCTTCTTTTTCTTCGTCTCCTCCTCATTTTCCTCCTCCTCCTTTTTCTTCTCCTTCTCCTTCTTCTTCTTCATCATCATCTTTTTCTCCTCCTCCTCCTCCTCCTCCTCCTTCTTCTTCTCCTTCTCCTTCTCCTTCTTCTCCTTCTTCTTTTTCTTCTTCTCCTTCTGCTTCTCCTTCTCCTTCTCCTCCTTCTCCTTCTGCTCCTCCTCCTCCTCCTTCTTCTTCTTCTTTCTCCTCCTCCTCCTTTTTCTTCTCCTTCTCCTTCTTCATCATCATGTTCTTCTTCTTCTTCTTTCTCCTCCTCCTCCTCCTTTTTCTCATTTTCTTTCTCTTCCTCTTCCTCCAACTCCTCCTCCTCCTCCTCCAATTCCTCCTCCTCCTTCTCCTTGTCTCTCCTTCTTTTCCTCCTCCTCCTCCTCCTCCTCCTTCTTCTTCTTCTTCTTCTCCTCTTCCTCCTCCTCCTCCTTCTTCTTCTCCTTCTTCTTTTCCTTCTCCTCCTCCTCCTCTTCCTCCTCCTCCTTCTTCTTCTTCTTCTCCTCCTCCTCCTCTTCCTCCTCCTTCTCCTCCTCCTCTAACTCCTCCTCCTCCTTCAACTCCTCCTCCTTCTCCTCCTCTTCCTCCTTCTCCTCCTCCTCCTCCTTCTTCTCCTCCTTTTCCTTCTCCTCCTCCTCCTCCTTCTCCTCCTCCTCCTTCTCCTCCTCCTCCTTCTTCTTCCTCCTCCTCCTCTTCTTCTTCTTCTTCTTCTTCTTCCTTTTCTTCTCCTTCTCCTCCTCCTCCTCCTTCTCCTCCTCCTCTAACTCCTCCTCCTTCAACTCCTTCTCCTCCTCCTTCTCTTCCTCCTCCTTCTCCTCCTCCTCCTCCTTCTCCCTTTTCTTCTTCTTCTTCTTCTTCTTCTTCTTCTTCTTCTTCTTCTTCTTCTTTTTCTTCTTCTTCTTCTTCTTCTTCTTCTTCTTCTTCTTCTTCTTCTTCTTCTTCTTCTTCTTCTTCTTCTTCTTCTCCTCCTCCTCCTCCTCCTCCTCCTCTTCCTCCTCCTCCTCCTCCTCCTCTTCTTCCTCTTCTCCTCCTCCTCCTCTTGCTCTTCCTTCTCCTGCCCCTGTTCGTGTGCACCCAGCCTCACTTCTCTCCACCCGGAGCGACCCACACTCATCGGTCCCCACCTGAACCCCTCACCCACCCCCTCGTGTCCCCACCTTTCCTCCTTGTGCCATTCCCTCCTCCCTGACTCCCCTTCTGCCGGCCATTCCCTGTGTGCAGAGGCTCCTGGATTTCCCCACCTGTCTCCAACTTCACAGGCTGGAGCAATAGCCCAGCGGGGAGGGCGTTTGCCTGGCACGTGGCCGACCCGGGTCCGAGTCCTCTGCCCCTCTCGGAGAGCCTCTCGGCCAGCTCCCGAGAGGATCTCGCCCACACGGCGGAGCCTGGCAAGCTCCCCGTGGCGTCTACGCGATGCCAAACACAGTGACAACAAGTCTCGTCACGGAGACGTGCCTGGTGCCCGCTCGAGTCGATCGATGAACCGCGAGAGGACAGTGACACAGTGCAATTTTGATATTTATCATGATATTGATCACCTAAATTAATATTATTAATTAATTATATTGATCATTCGATACATTAATGTAAACTAGATTGCATTAATTCCAATCGTGCTGATTCTATTAATCACATTCTATACCGATTAATTATACGGACGTTAGTGAACAGCAAATATTCACTGATATTGATCTAGATGGGCTGGAGCACAGCGGGGAGGGCGTCGACCTGGCACGCGGCCCACCCGGGTTTGAGTCCTCCGTCCCTCTCAGAGACTCCGGCCAGCTCCCGAGAGGATCCCGCCCGTCTGCCCGGCAGAGCCTGGCCAGCTCCCCGTGGCGTCTCCGAGATGCCAAACACAGTCGCAACGAATCTCACTGTGGAGACGTGACTGGTGCCCGCTCGGGCCAATCGATGAACAACGGGAGGACAGTGCGACTGTGCAGTTTTGATATTTATAATAATATTGATCACCCTCAGTTAATATTATTAATAAATTATATTAATTATTTGATGCATTAATGTTAACTAGATTGTATTCATTGCGATCGTGTTGATTCTATTAATCATATTGTATACCAATTAATGGATGTTAATGAATAGCAAATAGTCATTGATATTGATCTCGATGGGCTGGAGCACAGCGGGGAGGGCGTTGGCCTGGCACACGGCCGACCCGGGTTCGATTCCTCCGCCTGTCTCGCAGAGCCTCTCGGCCAGCTCCCAAGAGGATCCCGCCCACACAGTGGCAGAGCCCGACCAGCTCCCCGTGGCGTCTCCAAGATGCCAAACACAGTCACAGCAAGTCTCACCTTGGAGACGTGCCTGGTGCCTGCTCAAGCCAATCGATGAACAACGGGAGGACCGTGCTATATTATTGATTATTAATTCTGAGGCAAGGAACAGAGTAAGAATTTGATTATTATTATTATTATCATTATTGATTATTAACAAGTCTCAGCGTGGAGACGTGACTGGTGCCCACTCGAGCCAATCGATGAACAACGGGAGGACTGTGCTATATTATTGATTATTGATTCTGAGGCAAGGAACAAAGTAGAAATTTATTATTACTATTATTATTATTATCATTACTGATGATTAACAAGTCTCACCATGGGGACGTGACTGGTGCCCGCTCGAGCCAATTGATGAACAACGGGAGGACCGTGCTATATTATTGATTATTGATTCTGAGGCAAGGAACAGAGTAAGAGTTTATTATTAGTATTATTATCATCATTACTGATTATTAACAACAAGTCTCACCCTGGAGACGTGACTGGTGCCCGCTCGAGCCAGTCGATGAACTGCAGGAGGACAGTGCCACACTGCCCCGACTTCATCTCCCTGCCTCCTTGTCCCGTCACATACACCAGGAATCCCGACACAAAGCTCCGTTTTCTTCCTCCTCTCCTCACGGCGGCCAAAGCACCTTCCGATTTCCTGGAGCTGCTCGTGCGTGTGTGTGTGTGTGTGTGTGTGTGTGTGTGTGTGTGTGTGTGTGTGTGTCCACTCCCTGCTCTTTTCCCTGCATGGCCCAAAGCGGGTGTGTGGGCACCAGGCGTGACCGTGATCCCTGAAGCTCCACTGGACCACGGCTGTGCATCCTCTGAACGTCCAGAGAGAAGACGGGAAGGGAGTGGAAATCAGGGAACACTTGGTGCTCTTCCTCCTCCTTCGGTGTCTACAGTTCCTGCAAGTTCTTTGGGCTGCACAAACCCTGACCCACCTCAGGGGCTCCCGGAAGCCCCTCTTGCACCCGGGGCAGCCCCAATGTTCCAGAACATCCCCGGGGGATGGTGGGTGGATGGGTGCCCGGGGGCATGCGTGGATGCACCCAATACAATGGGTGCAGGCATGTCCCGGACACGTGAATTTTGCACCCGGCCCCTTCTGCCACCTCTCCCCCGACCCCGAAGTCACTGTGACCAGCGGTGGGAGGTGACCAGAGATACTGCAGCGGTTGTGGATGGTGCTAGCAGGGGTGCGGCAGCCGTGGGTGGAATGACAGACACAGGTAGCACAGGTGGTCAGCGGCCGGCTCCTGCGAGCCGGGGACAAATTGAGGCTCTGTTGCCAATGGCATCCGGTCTTCTCGGAGCTGCAGTGAAGGGCCCTTGGGCGTATAGGAGGCTCTCTCTGTCCACCCTCACTGTCCAGCCTTCTCTGAGCCGGGGTGAAGGGCCCTCCGGCAGATGGGGACTCTTGCTGTCCACTCACTGTCCATTCTTGCTGTCCAGGCTTCTCTGAGCCAGGATGAGGGGCCCTCAGGCAGATGGGGGCTCTCAGTGTCCACTCTTACCGTTCATTCTCACTGTCTCAGTCTTTTCTGAGTCAGGGTGAGGGACACTCAGGCAGATGTGGGCTCCCAGTGTCCACCCTCACTGTCCAGTCTTCTCTGAGCCGGGGTGAAGAGCCCTCGGGCAGATGGGGGCTCTCTATGTCCACTCTTACTGTTTTGTTTTCTCTAACGCAGGGTGAAGGACTGTTGGGTAGATGTATGGCTTTCTGTGTCCACTCTTGCCAGTCATTCTTACTGTCCAGTCTTTTCTGAGCCAGGGTGAGGGACACTCAGGCAGATGTGGGCTCTCAGTGTCCACTCTTGCCATTCATTCTTACTGTCCAGTCTTTGCTGAGCCGGGGTGAGGGACACTCAGGCAGATGTGGGCTTCCGGTGTCCACCCTCACTGTCCAGTCTTCTCTGAGCTATGGTGAACAGCCGTTGGGCAGATGGGGGCTCTCTCTGTCCACTCTTGCTGTCTTATTTTCTCTAACTCAGGGTGAAGGGCCTTTGGGCAGATCTATGGCTCTTGATGTCCACTCTTGCTGTCCATTCTTGCTGTCCAGGCTTCTCTGAGCCGGGATGAGGGACCCTCAGGTAGATGTGGGCTCTCAGTGTCCACCCTCACTGTCCAGCCTTCTCTGAGCTATGGTGAAGGACCCTCAGGCAGATGGGGGCTCTCTCTGTCCACTCTTGCTGTCCTGCTTTCTCTAATTCAGGGTGAAGGGCACTTGGGCAGATCTATGGCTCTTGATGTCCACTCTAACGGTCCATTCTTGCCGTCCAGTCTTCTCTGAGCCGGGACGAGGGACACTCAGGCAGATGTGGCTCTTACTGTCCCTTCTCTGCTGGGCTCGGGTGGCCGGGTCACAGGCAGGCGGGCGTGGGGGTCTTTGTCTGTAGGATCTCATAGTCGTCCGTTCTGTCTTGGCCTTGCCTCGGAGATAACTGTATCTGCTCCAGCACCATGTATTCATGCTCCTGGGAGACTGGGGGGGCCATGTTCTCCGTCCAGGTGCCCTGAAGGTAGAGAAAAACCACCCGCCCGCCACCCACCCCAGACAGCATGAGCCCCGGGGTCACAGCTCCTAAGGGCGCAAGAATGCAGCCCACCATCACCCCATCCACAGATGTACAGGCAGTGTGGAATACTACGCAGCTATGAAAAAGGTGCTCCCTCCCTCCCTCCCGCCAGCTCCAGGGTGGGCCACGTAAGTCTGCTCTGGCCCACGTGAGCCAGACGGAGACGGACAAATAAATGTCTCAGGGTTGTGTCCCTGCAGAGAGGGAGGTTACGGACCAGGTGGACGGACAGATAGAAAAAAATATCTTGGGAATGGGAGGCAGTTGGTGGGGCCAGAGCGATAGCACGGCGGGGAGGGCGTTGGCCTGGCACGCGGCCGACCTGGGTTCGAGTCCCGGCATCCCCTAGGCTCTCCCGAGCACCGCCAGGAGTGATTCCTGAGTGCAGAGGCAGGAGGAACGCCTGGGCATTGCTGGGTGGGACCCAAAAAAGCCAAAAAAGAAAGAAAGAAGAAAGAAAGAAAGAAAGAAAGAAAGAAGGAGGAAAGGAAGGAGAGAGGGAAGGAAGGAAGGAAGGACCCTATGGGATGCTGGGAATCAAACCTGGGTCAGCTGTGTGCCAGGCAAAACGTTCTCCCTGCTGTGCTATTGCTCCAGCCCCCAAATATATTTTTTTCCTTCCTTCCTTCCTTCCTTCCTTCCTTCCTTCCTTCCTTCCTTCCTTCCTTCCTTCCCCTTCCTTCCTTCCTTCCTTCCTTCCTTCCTTCCTTCCTTCCTCCGTCCCTTCCTTCCTTCCCCTTCCTTCCTTCCTTCCTTCCTTCCTTCCTTCCTTCCCTCCTCCCTCCCTCCCTTCCCTCCTCTCTTCCTTCCTTCCTTCCCTCCTCTCTTCCTTCCTTCCTTCTTTCCTTCCTTCCTTCTTTCCTTCCTTCCTTCCCCTTCCTTCCTTCCTTCTTTCCTTCCTTCCTTCCTTCCCCTTCCTTCCTTCCTTCCTTCCTTCCTTCCTTCCTTCTTTCCTTCCTTCCTTCCTTCCTTCCTTCCTTCCCTCCTCCCCCCCTCCCTTCCCTCCTCTCTTCCTTCCTTCCTTCCCTCCTCTCTTCCTTCCTTCCTTCCCTCCTCCCTTCCTTCCTCCCTTCCTTCCTTCCTTCCTTCCCCTTCCTTCCTTCCTTCTTTCCTTCCTTCCTTCCCCTTCCTTCCTTCCTTCCTTCTTTCCTTCCTTCCTTCCTTCCTTCCTTCCTTCCCCTTCCTTCCTTCCTTCTTTCCTTCCTTCCTTCCTTCCTTCCTTCCTTCCTTCCTTCCTTCCTTCCCCTTCCTTCCTTCCTTCCTTCCTTCCTTCCTTCCCTCCTCCCTCCCTCCCTTCCCTCCTCTCTTCCTTCCTTCCTTCCCTCCTCTCTTCCTTCCTTCCTTCCTTCCTTCCTTCCTTCCTTCCTTCCTTCCCTCCTCTCTTCCTTCCTTCCCTCCTCTCTTCCTTCCCTCCTTCCTTCCTTCCTTCCTTCCTTCCTCTCTCTCTGTCTCCTTCCTCCCTTCCTTCCTTCCTTCCTTCCTTCCTTCCTTCCTTCCTTCCTTCCTTCCTCCCTTCCTTCCTTCCTTCCCTTTTGGGTCCCACCCGGCGATGCTCAGGGGTCCCTCCCGGCTCATGCACTCAGGAATCCCTCCCGGTGGCGCTCAGGGGACCCTAGGGGATGCCGGGAATCGAACCCGGGTCGGCCGCGTGCCAGGCCAACGCCCGCCCCGCTGGGCTCTCGCCCCGGACCCCCAAGGGGGGCTTTGGGCCAAGGGGGCCGGGACACCAGGACCCTGGCAGGGACCCTCACCTCGGGGCCGCTCTCCAGGCTGCCGACGACGGCTCTGTTCACCCCGGGGATCGGAGGGAAGAGCTTCTGCCTCACCGCCAGCCTGCAGAGCACACGGACTCAGTGTCGGGCAGGGGGCACCCCCAGGCTCCCGTCCCGGGCAGGCACCCACGCCTCAGGCACCTGTGCGTGCTCAAGCGTGTGTGTGTGTGTGTTTGTGTGTGTCTGGCGGTACACATGCTTAGGCAGGCAGACGTGTGCGGACATGTGCATGTAAGTGGCTGCGTGTCTCATGGGAACATGTGTACAAGCGGCTATACCAGGGGTGGGCACGGCTCTGAGCATGGGTGAGTCTTACGTGCATGGCCGGGTGTCTGTGCTGGGGATTGCGGTGTACACGTGTGCGTCATATTTGCAGGACTGTAGCGGGGAATGCAGTGCACACGTGTACATCATATGTGCGTACTTATCTCGGGCAATGCAATGGACACAGATGCATCATACAGGCATGTCCATAGCAGGAAATGGAATTGGCATGTGTGCGTCATACATGCATGTCTGGATGTCTGTGCTGGGCAATGCGCATGTGTGCATCATACGTGCATGCGTGTTACAGGGAATGAAATGTACATGTGGGCATCATATGTCCATGTCTGTGTGTAATGGGCAATTTACATGTGTGCATCATACATGCATGTCTGTACCGGATGATGCAACATACACATGTGTATCGTACATACATGTCTGTACCAGGGAATGCAATGTACATGTGTGCATGTCTGTATTGGACATTGCAATATACATGTGTGATACACATGCATGTCTATACCAGGGAATACATACATGTCTATACCAGGGAATGCAATGTACATGTGTGCACCACATGCCCATGTCTGGACGTGTGTGATGGACATTGTACATGTGTGCATCATACATGCATGTCTGTATTGGACGATGCAATATACATGTGCATCATACATACATGTCTATACCAGGGAACACTATGTACATGTGTGCATTATATGTCCGTGTCTGTGTGTGTGATGGGCAATGTAAATCATACATGCATCTCTGAACCACGGAATGCAATTTACATGCGTGTATCATACATGCAAGTCCCTGCCGGGCAATGTAGTGTACACATGTGCATCATAGGTACATGTCCACATGTCTGTACCAGGTAATACAGTGTGCATGTGGGTGTCATCCATGCAAGGCTGGATGTGTGTACCAAACCCTGTGACATACGTGTGTGCACTGCACATGTATGTTCAGGCATGTCACATGTGTGCTCATCATTGTCAGTCATCATGTCTCCCCACGTGCCCAGGCATGTGTTGACGCTATCCAATCTGCGTGTAGTCACATGTCACATGCCTGACTCTGGGCCTGAGTGCCCAGTACACCCACGCCTCTGTGAGCACATGTGTACATACGTGTGTGCATATGTGTATCTCAGTCACAGGTCCCCAGCAGTACGGCCCGCATGTTTCGATGCATGTCCATGCCTGCTGTATCTTCCACACCCACGCACACATGGACCTTTGGCGTGGCGGCCCAGTCCTTGTCTTGTGCATGCTGTGCACACATATGTGCTCGTGTGTGCACACACATGAACACGTATGTCCGCACCACAAGCACACGCGCACACACGTGCTCACGCGTGCACATGTGTGAACACGCATGTCTGCACCACAAGCACGTGTGCACATATGCACGCTTGTGCGTGCACATGCATGTCCACACGCACAAGCACACATGCACACACGCTCACTCATGTGTGAACACGCGTGAACACGCGTGTCTGCACACAGAGCACGGCAGCCGGGCCTGTGTCCTGTGCATGCCTCCGTGAGGAGCCCTAGCCCTGCGTGACACCCGCGCGCTCCTTCATGTCCTCGGCGCCCAGTGGAGTCTCAGGGACTGGGCAAGGGGGGCGAATGTCACCTTTGGCAGAGGAACAGGATCACCGTGACGCAGAGGCACGAGGTCCCCAGGACGGGCAGGATGAGGGTCAGGCTGTGGCCACCGGGCTCCGACTCCGGCATCCCTGGGCACGGGAGAGGGCAGGGGACGGGCGTCAGCCCTGCAGAAACCATGCTCGGATGGCCCCCAACCCGGCATCCTCTGGGCTGGAGGACACGGTTGGGGTTGAGAACAGACGACGTGTCATGAGGGACCCCCCCCCCCCCACGAAGCGGGACCCAGGACAGCTGGGTGGACACGGTCCGAGAGCGACCAGCACGGACTCCAGCCGTACACAGAAGCACCCAACACACCTCGGCAGGTGGGGAGGCTGCACAGGGTGGAGCACAGGTCCTCGGAAAGGACCTCCACATCCTTCTGCCTCAGGAGGGACACAGTTCCCGCCCAGGGACGCCTGGAGACCTCCGGGAGATGGGAGAGGAGGAAGGACCCTCCCAGAGAAGCCCCCTAAGAAACTGGGCATCCACGTAGTCAGCGGAGCGGTACCCCTAAGACACACGTGTTTGTCCTCACTCTGCACCGTGGGGGTGGACTCTCCCTGGGACACGGTGTCCCTGCAGATGGGGGTCAGGGCCAGGGCGGGGAGGGCCTCGGGCTGCCCTGCATACCCAGTGTCCTGCCCAGAGCCGGGGAACCGGGAACGGGGGACATCGCTGGATTCTTCGCCAGGACCGGGCACCCACCCAAGGCCAGCGGGCTGCTCCATTCGCTCCAGTAGTGGCCGTAAGCGTGTCTCACCCGGATGCGGACGGTGGTGTCCGCACGCACGGCTGACCTGGGCAGCGGGTACTGGTTCCTCTTCTCTCCTCGCTGAAAGACCTGACAAAGCAGATGGTCGGCCGCCGGGGCGGCCAGCGCTGGGGGAGGGGAGTGGCCACAGCTAGGAAGTGATGGTCAGCCACTGTGGCCATCTGGATCCCTCCCTCCAAGGCTCGATGCGGAGCCGGGGGGCCTCTGGGCATCCCTGGGTGGGGCGGCGAGTCCCTTTCCCCACGACTAAAGCAGTTCAAGGGTCTCTGGGGTCTTTCCCCCCTGGAACTGAGTGGCCCTCAGAAGTTTGGGTTCTGTGTTCCAGTCATGCAGAGAGAGAAGATACTCACAGATTCCGCCGCGTTGGAGACGCCCTGTGACACAGAGCAGGGGACAGAGGGTCAGGGGGGAGGGAGGGTGTCAGGCACGCCAGAAAGAAGGCAAAGTGCCCAGTCACCGCACGCCCCCTAGTGGTGTGACGGTTCTTGCTGGCGTCCGGGGACCCACCCACTCAGGAATGAATGATGATAAAATATTATTTTATTAAATGATAAATAATGATATTTTATTATATAAGTATAAAAGAGCGATATTTTATTATTATATAAAATAAAAGAATATTTCGTTATAATAGAATAATTATTTTAATTTATTAAATAATAAATAATAGTTTATTCTGCAAGTATAAAAGAATGATATTTTATTATCATATAAAAATAAAACAATATTTTAGTATAACAGAATCATTATTTTAGTTTATTAAATAATAAATAATAGTTTATTATATAAGAATAAAAGAATGATATTTTATTATTATGTAAAATATTTTATTATAATAAAATGACTATTTTAATGTATTAAATAATAAATAATATTTTATTATATAAAAATAAAACAATGATATTTCAGTATTATTCGTCGATTGCCTCGAGCAGGCCCCAGTAACGTCTCCTTCGTCCTAGCCCTGAGATTTTAAAAAGTGCCACGTTCGAGGCTCTTCCAGGGTCAGGAGAATGAGACCCACCATTATTATATAAAAATAAAATATCTTATAATAAAATGATTACTTTATTTTATTAAATAATAGATAATAATATTTTATTATATAAAAATAAAAATAATATTTTATTATTATATAAAACAATATTTTATTATAATAGAATGATTATTTTATTTTAATCAATAATAAATAATATTTTATTATATAAAATAAAAGAATAATATTTTATTATTATATAAAATAATATTTTATTATAATAGAATGATTATTTTATTTTAATCAATAATAAATAATATTTTATTATATAAAATAAAAGAATAGTATTTTATTATTATATAAAATAATATTTTATTATAATAGAATGATTATTTTAATCAATAATAAATAACATTTTATTATATAAAATAAAAGAATAATATTTTATTATTATAGAAAATAATATTTTATTATAATAGAATGATTATTTTATTTTAATCAATAATAAATAATATTTTATTATATAAAATAAAAGAATAATATTTTATTATTATATAAAAATAATATTTTATTATAATAGAATGATTATTTTATTTTAATCAATAATAAATAACATTTTATTATATAAAATAAAAGAATAATATTTTATTATTATAGAAAATAATATTTTATTATAATAGAATGAGTATTTTATTTTAATCAATAATAAATAATATTTTATTGTATAAAATAAAAGAATAATATTTTATTATTATATAAAAATAAAGTAATATTTTGTTATAATAGAATAATCATTTTAATTTATTAAATAACAAATAATAATATTCTATTATATGAAAATAAAACATTTTATTATTATATAAAGTAAAAGAATGATATTTTATTATCATATAAAAATAAAATATTTTACCATTATGATAAAATGGTTACTTTATCCTATTAAATAATGAAATAATAAATAGCCACATTTTATTATATAAAAATAAAATGGCAGCATTTTATTGTAATAAACTAATTATTTTATCCTATTAAATAATAAAATAATAACTGATCGTACTCTATTATGATTTCTCATTTTACGATTGCTCTGGCCCACCAATGAAATAAAAATTTCCCAAAGAAAAAATCGGGAGGGCGTTGCAACCAACCCAGGAAGGGAGGCAGAGACACGCGTCGGGTCTGAGGCGGCGTGTGTCTGTGTCTGTGCGGGGAGTCGGGGCGGGCGGGCGCTCACCTCTCTCCGGATGCAGATTTCGTAGAGCAAGATGTGAGTGGACAGTTCGTATCTCCGCTTGGGGTTGTCCCACTCGATCACGTGGTAGGAGCCGTTCTCGTGGGAGCTGAGGTTGCCGGGCGGGTCGTACTTCTCTGAGAGAGACACAGAGACAGAGAGAGACACAGAGAGAGGCAGAGAGACAGAGAGAGAGACCGAGAGACAGACAGAGACACACAGAGAGACGGAGGGACAGAGACAGAGAGAGAGAGACAGACAGAGAGACACAGAGAGAAGCAGAGACAGACATAGAGAGAGACAGAGAGACAGAGACAGACAGAGACACACAAAGAGACGGAGGGACAGAGACACAGAGAGACAGACACAGAGAGAGACAGAGAGAGTGATAGAGAGACACACAGAAAGAGACAGAGAGAGACAGAGAGAGACAGAGAGACAGAGACACAGAGAGACAGAGAGAGACAGAAAGAGTCAGAGAGACAGAGACAGAGAGAGACAGAGAGAGTGATAAAGAGACACAGAGAGAGACAGAGAGACAGAGACAGACAGAGACACACAGAGAGATGGAGAGACAGAGACAGAGAGAGACAGAGATGGAGAGATAGACACAGAGAGAGACAGAGAGTGATAGAGAGACACACACAGAGAGACAGAGACAGACAGAGACAGAGAGAGGGGGAGAGACACACAGAGACAGAGATAGACAGAGAGAGAGACAGAGACAGAGAGAGACAAAGAGACAAAGAAAGACAGAGAGACAGAAACAGAGACACAGAGAGAGGGAGAGAGAGACAGAGAGAGACAGAGACAGACAGAGACACACGGAGAGACGGAGAGACAGAGACAGAAAGACACACAGAGAGACAGAGAGAGACAGAGAGACACAGAGACACACAGAGACACACAGAGAGAGGGAGAGACAGAGACAGAGAGAGACAGAGATAGAGAGACAGACACAGAGAGAGGGAGAGAGACACAGAGAGAGACAGTGACAGAGAGACAGAGACAGAGAGAGAGAATTCGGCAACTGCTATAAATATGCAGAAAGGAAGTAGACCAACCCCTAGAGCCTTTTGCCCCGTTTCCTCTTTCTGTCGGAATCCAAAGCCACACCCACCGGTGGTGGCCCCCCACCCTCGCCGGGCCGGTAACTGCATCTCAGACCGATGCCCCCAGCCCTAACACCACGCCGAGCCCAGAGCCAGTTTCCGGAAAAACTCCTTCGCTTGCGAATGCACAAATGCCAAATGCACAAATGGAGAGAGACAGAGACAGAGAGACACAAAGAGAGGGAGAGACAGAGAGAGACAGACAGAGACACAGAGACAGAGAGAGACAGAGACAGACAGAGATGGACAGAGACACACAGAGAGAGGGAGAGACAGAGACAGAGAGAGACAAAGAGAAAGACTCAGAGAGACTGAGAGACTGAGATAGAGAGAAACAGGGAGACAGAGAGAGACAGAGACACAGAGAGACAGAGACAGACAGAGACAAAGAGAGAGACACAGAGAGAGGGAGACAACTCCCAACAGGGAGTGTCGCCCCACGACAAAAGGGACACTTGCCACCAGCCACGAAACGTGGCCCATCCCCACCCACCCACCCAAGGCCCTGGGGTGGCGGCAGGAAACAGAGTCAGTTCTCGGAGCATCACCCGTGCCAAGACGGTCACAAGGTCACACGGTCGGAGACGCATGCCACGGGAGACGGTGTCTCAGGACACGGTGCCACGAAAGTTCCGTGTCCATGGTTGAGACCCCCGAGACTCTCTGTACATGGGTCCGACTCCCTGAGAGTTCGAGGAGGGGACAGCCCCCGCCTCGACACGCAAGGTGCCTTTCCCGGGCGCCGTGGGTCCAAAGTCACGTCACGCATGGGAGGTCGAGGCGACCTGAGAAACCGTGGCCCCGGCGGCAGCCACGTTCGCAGCCGCACCCTTTTGTGTGATTGAATTTGCTTCCTATTGAATTAGTTGGTTAATGATTATTATTATTAAATAATAATAATAATAATAATGTTTTATTATTGATTTGGCATTTTCCTCTCCTCCCTGCCCCCCCCCCCCCTTTCTGCATCCAAGTCCTGTGCAGTTAATTGTTGAATCAAGATTTTCTCAAAAAAAAAAATTTCACAAGCCTGGGGCTGGAGCGAGAGCCCAGCGGGGAGGGCGTTGGCCTGGCACGCGGCCGACCCGGGTTCGATCCCCGGCATCCCCTAGAGTCCCCCGAGCACTGCCAGGAGTCATTCCTGAGTGCAGAGCCAGGAGGAATCCCTGAACATCGCCGGGTGGGACCCCAGAAACGATCTCTGGGCACCGCAAGCTGTGTAGGAGGGAGCAGCGAAGCTCGCGTGCAAACACAGGCTGGCCCGCCTCCCTCTGCACACAGGACACATGACACGCATGCAAGACACACGCCCGGGGAACCGCGCCGGCCTCACCCATCATCACGCCTCTGAACGGGGCGAAGTCCACGAAGGGGATGTGGGTCTCAGCACTGGTTCCGTTGAGCAGGAAGAAGTAGGTGTCAGTCGAGGCAAACTGGGCCAAGTGACAGCCCACGGCGGTCCCGGCGCGGTTCAGGGTGTACTGGGGGCATTCGGATTCGTCCTTGTCCCTGGGACAGGAGGGAAGAGGGTGCAGACACGGCTTCTAAGCCCTGCCGTTGTGTCTGGGGGCTATTGTTGACCCCCCTTCCAAAAAATCTCAGTTCCGATGTCGAAAAGATTCCAAGCTGGGGAAGGTGGGTGGGAAGGTTGACGGCTTTCAGATGAGGAACCGCAAACAGGCGCGAAGGGATGAGGAACTGCAAACAGCCGCGAAGGGATGAGGAACCGGGAGCGGCCGCAAAGGGAGGGAAGCAAACTAGGACCCGGGTCCCGGAGGGCGGCCCCACCCCGCGCCCCCACACCCACCAGGAAGTCCAGTAGTAGAGGCGGTAGTGGACGTCAGCGGGGGCCGCGGGGCCCGGCTCCCAGCTGCAGTTCATGAAGTGGACGGCGTAGATGATGCAGGAGAAGTTCATGGGGGCAGAGCCCTCCCGGCCTAGGAGACGGCAAAGGCTTCAGCCCCGGGTCTCGGCGCAGGGAATGACTGAGCCCACCTGGGAGCACTCACCCACCTGGGAGCACTCAGCTGTGAGCACTCAGCTGTGAGCACTCGCTCACCTGTATTCACTCACTTGTGAGCAGTCACCTGGGAGCACTCACTTGTGATCACTCAGCTGTGAGCACTCACCTGTATTCACTCACTCACTTGTGTGCACTCACCTGAGAGCACTCACTCACCTGGGAGCACTCACCTGGGAACACTCAGTTGTGAGCATTCACTGTATTCACTCACTCATTTGTGTGCACTCACCTGGGAGTGCTCAGTCACTTGAGAGCACTCACCTGGGAGCACTCACCTGGGTTCACTCACTCACCTGGGTCCACTCACCTGGGAGCACTCAGCTGTGTGCATTCACTCACCTGTTTGCACTCACTCGCCTGTGTTGAGTTACTCACCCGTGTGCACTCACCTGTGAGTGCTCGGTTGTGAGCACTCACTCACCTGTGGGCACTCACTCACCTGTGTTCACATATTCATCTGTGTGCACTCACCTGTGAGCACTCACTCACCTGTGTGCACTCACTCACTCACCTGCGAGCACTCACATACCTGTGAACGCTCACTCACCTGTGAGTACTCACTCACCTGTGTTCACACACTCACCTGTGAGCACTCACTCACTTACCTGTGAGCACTCACCTATCCGCATTCACCCACTTGTTTGCACTCACTCGCCTGTGTTGAACTACTCACCTGTGTGCACTCACCTGTGAGCATTCAGTTGTGAGCACTCACTCACCTGTGTTCACTCACTCACCTGTTTGCACTCACTCACCTGTGTTCACCTCACTCACTTGCATTCACCTCCCTCCCTCCCTTACCTGTCTTGACTCACCTGTGCTCACCTCACTCACCTGTGTTCACCTCACTCACGTGTGCTCACCTCACTCACCTGTGTTCACTCACCTGTGTTGACTCCCTCCCTCCCTTATCTGTCTTGACTGACTCACCTGTGTTCACCTCATCACCTGTGCTCACCTCACTCACCTGAGTTCACCTCACTCACCTGTGCTCACCTCACTCACCTGTCTTGACTCACTCACCTGAGTTCACTTCACTCACCTGTGCTCACCTCACTCACCTGAGTTCACCTCACTCACCTGAGTTCACCTCACTCACCTGTGCTCACCTCACTCACCTGAGTTTACCTCACTCACCTGAGTTCACCTCACTCACCTGTGCTCACCTCACTCACCTGTCTTGACTCACTCACCTGTGCTCACCTCACTCACCTGTCTTGACTCACCTGTGTTCACCTCACTCACCTGTGCTCACCTCACTCACCTGTGCTCACCTCACTCACCTGTGCTCACCTCACTCACCTGTCTTGACTCACTCACCTGTGCTCACCTCACTCACCTGTCTTGACTCACCTGTGTTCACCTCACTCACCTGTCTTGACTCACTCACCTGAGTTCACTTCACTCACCTGTGCTCACCTCACTCACCTGAGTTCACCTCACTCACCTGAGTTCACCTCACTCACCTGTGCTCACCTCACTCACCTGTGTTCACCTCACTCACCTGAGTTCACCTCACTCACCTGTGCTCACCTCACTCACCTGAGTTTACCTCACTCACCTGAGTTCACCTCACTCACCTGTGCTCACCTCACTCACCTGTCTTGACTCACTCACCTGTGCTCACCTCACTCACCTGTCTTGACTCACCTGTGTTCACCTCACTCACCTGTGCTCACCTCACTCACCTGTGCTCACCTCACTCACCTGTGCTCACCTCACTCACCTGTCTTGACTCACTCACCTGTGCTCACCTCACTCACCTGTCTTGACTCACCTGTGTTCACCTCACTCACCTGTGCTCACCTCACTCACCTGTGCTCACCTCACTCACCTGTGCTCACCTCACTCACCTGTGCTCACCTCACTCAGTGATCTTCACTTCACTCACCTGCGTTCACCTCCCTCCCTCCCTCACTGTCTCAACTCACCTGAGTTTCCTCACTCACCTGTGTTCACTCACTCACCTGGGTTCACCTCCCTTCCTCCCTTACCTGTCTTGACTCACTCACCTGGGTTCACCTCCCTCACCTGGGTTCACTCACCTGCTGTGTGCTCTCACCTGTGTTCACCTCGCTCAGCTATACTCACTTCACTCACCTGCATTCACCTCCCTCCCTCCCTCACCTGTCTGGACTCACTCACCTGGTTTCCTCCCTCACCTGTATTCACCTCCCTCACCTGGGTTCCCTCTCTGCCCGTCCTCCCTCCCTCCCTCCTCCTCCCACTCCTCCCTCCCTCCATACTCCCGCCCTCACCTTCTTGCTTTAGGAGCCTGTGGTACACCTTGGTCTCCCCCTGGGAGCTGGAGACATTCAGGCTGAACTCGGCCCCTTGATGCAGTTCCACGTTGGGGAAACTGCAGCTGTAGCCGCAGCCTCCTTCCACCTGGGACAGAGCAGTGACCCTGCTGACCACAGCCCTGGGGGACTGCAGCGGGGTTGAGGGGAGCTGGAACAATAGCCCAGCGGGGAGGGCACTGGCCTGGCACGCGGCCAACCCGGGTTCGAGTCCCGGCATCCCCTAGGGTCCCCCGAGCACCGCCAGGAGGGATTCCTGAGTGCAGAGCCAGGAGTCACCCCTGAGCATCGCACACCTGGTGTACATCATGGACACACACATATGCTCAATGACACGCGTGCATCTATCTGTTTTAGCTTCACGCACATATATACACTCACGCATACAAACATCACACACGTCCACTCACACATGCACACAATCATCACACGCAGACACACATCCACACAAACATCACACACATCCACATAGAGATGTCACATATGTACACTCACATATCACACATACACTCACACATCCTTACAAACATCACATACCCTACACATCCACACAGACATCACACACAGACACACATCCACACACATCACACTCACACATGCACACAAACATCACACACAGACACTCACACATACACAAAACATCACATATATACTCACACATGCACACAAACATCACACACAGACACTCACGCATCTACACAGACATCACACACTCATGCACCCACACAAGCATCACACACATGCACTCACACATACATACAAACATCCACACAAACATCATACACTCATACAGACATCCACACAGACATCATGCAAATCCACATACAAATGTCACATACATACACTCACACATCACACATACACTCACACATACATACAAACATCACATGCATACTCTCACAAATCCACACAAACATCACATACACTACGCATCTACACAAACATCACACGCACTCACACATCCACACATTATACTCACACATGCACACAAACATTACACACATCCACTCACACATCCACACAGACATCACAGTCACACATCCACACAAACGTCACGCACAGACACTCACACATACACAAAACATCATATATACAATCACACATGCACACAAATATCACACACAGACACTCACATACACACAAACATTACACACATACACACACCACAGATACACACGGCTAAAGAAACATCACACACAGTCACACATCCACAGAATCACATCCACACAAATGTCACACATATACACACATGTCACACACTCACAGCCACACAAACCACACATCCACATACAAATGTCACATACATACACTCACACATCTCACACATACAAACATCACACATACACTCACAGATGCACACAAACAACACGCACATACACTGACACATACACAAAACATCACACCTACACTCACACATACACCCAAACATCACACACATACACTCACACATCCACACAGACATCACACTCACACAAGCACACAAACATCACACACATGATGCTCTGTGTCTCGGTCTGTCTCCCTCCCTTTTCTTTCCCTTTTCTCTCTCGCTCTCTCACTCTGCTCTCTCCCTCCTTCCTCACTTGATCCCTCGGCTCCCTTGTCCTCCCGTTGGTCATCGAGTCGCTCGAGCGTGGCGCCAGGAACGTCTCCATCCGTCCCCGTTGCGTGGTAGCGTGGCCGCGAGTCGCCATATTGGGGTCTCTTCCAGGGTCGGGGCAATGAGACCCCCCCCATTCTGGGTACTGTGTTTTTTTTGAGGTGGAGCGACTGCAGATCGCAGATCGCAGAGATGAACCACGGGAGGACAATTTTGATACTTATAATGAGATGATTCACCCTCAATTAATATTAGCAATTAACTGTATGATCAATATTATCAATTAATATTAGTAGTTAACTGTATTGATCAATATTATTAATTAATATTAGTGATTAACTGTATTGATCAATATTATTAGTTAATATTAGTAATTAACTGTATTGATCAATATTATTAATTAACATTAGTAATTAACTATATTGATCAATATTATTAGTTAATATTAGTAATTAACTGTATTGATCAATATTATTAATTAATATCAGTAATAAATTATATTAATTAATAGTGTTGATTAATATTAGCAATTAATCATATTTATTAATATTGTTGATCGATAGTATTAACTAATGTTATTAACCGTAGTAATTAATTATATTGATTAATATTGTTGATTATATTAGTAATTAGTTGTATTGATTAATATTATTAATATTAGCAATCAATTGTATTAATATTAATTGATGTTATTGATTATTAATCACTTTTATTAATTATTCGACACGCGAATGTTAACTAGTTTGTATTCATTGCAATCGCGTTGATTATATGCATCATTTTATATACTGATTAATTAGACGGACCTTAATGACTAGCAAATATTCATTGATATTGATCTAGATGGGCTGGAGCCCAGCGGGGAGGACGTGGGCCTGGCACGCGGCCGACCCGGGTTCGATTCCTCCGCCCGTCTCTCTCCGAGAGGATCCTGCCCGTCTGCCTGGCAGAGCCTGGCCAGCTCCCTGCGGCGTCTGCGAGAAGCCAAACACAGTCACCACGAGTCTCACCGTGGACACGTGACTGGTGCCCGCTCAAGCAAATCAATGAACCACAGGAGGACCATGCTCTATTATTGATGATTAATTCTGAGGCAAGGAACAGAGTAAGAGTTTATTATTAGTATTATTATTGATTATAAACAACAAGTCTCACCCTGGAGACGTGACTGGTGCCCGCTCGAGCCCATCGATGAACAATGGGAGGACCGTGCTATATTATTGATTATTAATTCTGAGGCAAGAAACAGAGTAAAAGAGTTTATTATTATTATTGTTATTATTGATTATTGATTATTAACAAGTCTCACCCTGGAGACGTGACTGGTGCCCTCTTGAGCCCATCAATGAACAATGGGAGGACAGTGCTATATTATTGATCATTAATTCTGAGGCAAGGAACAGAGTAAGAGTTTATTATCATTATTATTGATTATTGATTATTGATTATTAACAAATCTCACCATGGAGATGTGACTGGTGCCCGCTCGAGCCAATCGATGAACAAGGGGAGGACAGTGACGGTGACATTATTATTATTATTATTATTATTATTGATTATTAACAACAAGTCTCACCATGGAGACGTGAGCGGTGCCCGCTGGAGCAAATCGATGAACCACGGGAGGACGACCGTGACAGTCACAGTTCCTGGCAAAAACTTTCCAAAAGCCTTTAAAAAAAACCTTTTTTTTTTTAATCTTTCAGGGTTGCCTTTAGGGTCTGTGAAACGCAGACCCCGCCCGCCTCTTCCTCCCCTTCCCTCCACCCCTGTGCTCAGAGAAAGGGCCAGGCTCTCTCTGTCTCTCTCTGTCTCTGTCTCTGTCTCTCCATGTCTCTCTGTCTCTCTCTGTCTCTGTCTCTCCATGTCTCTCTGTCTCTCTCTTTCTCTCTGTCTCTCTCCTCTCTCTCGTCTCTCTCTGTCTCTGTCTCTCCATGTCTCTCTGTCTCTCTCTGTCTCTCTCTCCTCTCTGTATCTCTGTCTCTCCATGTCTCTCTGTCTCTCTCTGCTTCTCTCTGTCTCTGTCTCTCCTCTCTGTCTCTCTCCTCTTTCTCTCATCTCTCTCTTTCTCTCTGTCTCTCTTTCTCCTCTGTCTCTCTGTCTCTCCATGTCTCTCTCCTCTTTCTCTCGTGTCTCTCTCTTTCTCTCTGTCTCTGTCTCTCTTTCTCCTTCCTTTCAAATAAAACCTGATTTTGTTGTTTATTTTTTTTTAACGTTTCCTTAAACTTCAATTATTTTTCTTCCTTTACAGACTGTCGGGTCTGGGGTCTGTGCCGATGCCGGGAAAATCTCTTCCTCCCTGGCCCTCAATGCAACAGCACAAACGAACTTCAGAGAACACAGGGCAGAACCATCCAAGGGGCACACGGTTCCCCGGGGCTGAACCAAGCAACCAAAACCTCGTCCAACTCGTGGGCAAGAACGGTCTAAGGCAAATGCCCTGGCTGCTGCTGTAGTGTGTGTGTAGTGTGTGTGTGTGTGTGTGTGTGTGTGTGAGGTTTGCATTTGGACAATCTGTCTTGTGGTGCTGTGTGTGTGTGTGTGTGTGTGTGTGTGTGTGTTGGATTTGGATTTTTTTTTCTCTCCCTGTTTTGGTGCAAACTTTCATCTCTTTGAAAACTCTAAAGTCCTCACACACCAAGGTTTTCCTCCTGGGAATATGGTATCGTGTGTGTGTGTGTTTGTGTGCATGTTGTGTGTGTGCGTGTTGTGTGTGTGCGTGTGTGTGTGTGATTCGAATTTTTTTTCTCCCTGCTTTGGTGCAAAGTTTCATCTCTTTGAAAAATGCAAAGTCCTCACACACCAAATTTTTCCTCCTGGGAATATGGTGTTCGTGTGTGTGTGTGTGTGTGTGTGTTTGGGAATATGCTGTCATGTGTGTTTGTGTTTGTGTGTGTGATTTGGATTCCCCCCCCTGTTTTGGTGCAATGTTTCATCTCTTAAAAAAACACCCAAAGTTCTCACACCCCAATCTTTTTCCTTCTGGAAGTCGGTGCCTTTCTTGAGTGTGTGTGTGTGTGTGTGTGTGTGTGTGTGTGTGTGTGATTTGAATTTTTTTCTCCCTGTTTTGGTGCAAAGTTTCATCTCTGAAAAATGCAAAGTCCTCACACACCAAATTTTTCCTCCTGGGAATATGGTGTCATGTGTGTATATGTTTGAGTGTGTGTGTGTATATGTGTGTTTGTGTGTGCGTATGTGTGTGTTTGTGTGTGTGTGTGACTTGAATTTTTTTCTCCCTGTTTTGGTGCAAAGTTTCATCTCTTTGAAAAATGCAAAATCCTCACACACCAAGTTTTTCCTCCTGGGAATATGGTGTCATGTGTGTATATGTTTGAGTGTGTGTGTGTGTGTGTATGTGTGTTTGTGTGTGTATGTGTGTGTTTGTGTGTGTGTGTGACTTGAATTTTTTTCTCCTTGTTTTGGTGCAAAGTTTCATCTCTTTGAAAAATGCAAAATCCTCACACACCAAGTTTTTCCTCCTGGGAATA